TTTACATCTGTCCCATATAGATACAGTAATTCACTGCCTGCTTGATTCTTACTCAGGGGAATAATCTTGTGGCTTAACTTTGTTTTTTTTCCCCCTGCTTGTCCATTTTCATTATGGGTCTTTGTAGATGTGCCGGAGGGTGAACTGCAATAGTTTAGATTAGGAATCAGTATGTCAGAGTAAATAAAACAAGGTCTAAGGTCATTCAGCAGCAATCACGCCTATTGTTGGACAAGCATATAATGGGCAATTCCAAAAAAGCCATTTTTTAAATCTTTTTTACTTAAAATGGCTTTTAAGAAAAATCTTTCTGCAGTATTGTGCTTTGCATTGTTATCGTTTAGCTGTCATTGGCAGAATGCTTCAAATAAAGTGCCAGCCGATGTCCTAATGAGCCCACATTCTCTATACTTTGGAGGTGTTGCATCCAACAATTTCTGAAACAGACATCTGACAAACACATCAGACAGCGATGCCAGGTGAAGAGGTGAGAAGATGGCAGGATCTTAACTTCTCTGTCCAGCTTACTTTTCTGTGCACAACCAGCGAAGGCTTCCAAGGCAAGTCTCCCTCAAAACATCAAAAAAGATTATGGTTATGACAAAAAGTCTATTATGTGATGTAAAACTTGGTCTCAAGCTGTAGTCAAGAATTTGATGGACAAGGAGGGTACATATCCAGCTTTGTGTGGGTGTACCGTCTGCTAGGTTCAGCAACTTTGGCTGGATGTTAAACTTAGTCTCACACCTTAAACGTAGAAGTTCTTGAAACTTGCAAATAAGTTACTGTTTTTCAGCTGATATGCATTGTTAGTTGATGAGCTGTTTTTGCACTTGACTTTTCTGGCCATCTGTTTTAACAAACTACAGCCACACCAACAGCTTCTCCGTGTAAGCCAGTTTGAGGTCGACTCTGAGTAAAGGTTCAGAAAAAAAAGTTAGACCTAGTCCAAACTGTGAAAAATGGGATGCTATCAGCACGCCCCATTTTTCACAGGTAGTCTGTTGCTTCCACTGTTGGGAATTATTGATCAGTCCTGGAAGGCTTGATCTATAGGGTTGTAGTGAGCATATCGACCAAGCAATCGAACAGCAGACACTGAGACTACAGCCCTTCTCCAGGCTGAAGAAATGATACATGGTCCTCCACCAGTACAACACACAGGCCCTCCTGTAGTGACACTGTTAATTATGAATGCTTTATGGATACTCACCTGCCGAAAGGAACTAAGAAGGCTTAATTTTTCCCAAGTTTTCCATGATTTTTATCATTTTTAGCATTGCAATGTCTTGTAGATGCAAGTTTTCTAAGGAATTTCCTCCCATCTAGCGCCAGGAATGAGCTTGAATGCCAATAGGCAGAGAAGGGGCTTTGGATTTGTTGCACTGATTGAGAAGAAAACCTCACTCCTACCCCCCTGAATAATTCATTGATTGGCATATGGCGTGTAGAGAAAAGCCCAATGATCCCTGCATGTCTGTCTGTGTGTATTCTTATTTCAACTGTAGTCCACAATGAGTTCAATTGAGCGTGTTCCTGTTCCCTCCCATCAATGATTTCTGCACACTTTTACCCTCACATTTAACCATCTTTAACCAGCTGCACTAAATTTAGTCACTTAAATGTCATCTGGTTCTTACAACACTTTCACTCAATTGCTAAAAATGTCAGTTTCTCTCCAAAAGTATCATTCTGGCAGATAAAATCTTACATATTCATTATGACAAGCGTTCATGACAAGGGATAGCCAGACATGCTAAAGGAATTTGTGGGAGCTCTCCTGGTACACATTAACATAATGTGCTGTGATGTTTCATTGCAGTGGAAATGAGCATAGAAAAACTATCAGTAGCCTTTCTGTCAGGCTATAAGAATTATCTGTAGACCAAATAGCTGTTTTAATAGTGGTCAAAATGGCTTTTCAGTTGTCAGGAAATAGTACTGTCACTGCTAATGAGTGCAATCTAGACAACATGTGCATCCCAGCTGGCAATAAGAGCTCTCAGTCCGGACATTCTTCACACAGCCCACTGTGGGTGATTATCTATTCAAGGGGAGTACACTAACTCTTACCTGTCACTACTACTGCTTCACACTAGAGAGAGAACTAATAACTTGCTGCACAAACATGCCTTCCAATAGCAGCAAATACTGAGCAGCAGAGGAGCATTTACCCACAAAAAAAAAACACATTTTGGGAAAACTTTATCCATAAGTTATTGTCAACAGAATATGCTGTACTTTTTGGTCTTTTTCTTGAGTAAAACTAGAGACTGATCTAATGGCTTTTGAATGGAATAATTATCCAGATAAGTGTCGTACTGAATGATATGGTTCAGTGTTTTTAAAGGTTGCTTTTTATGACTAAGAGCACAGGGAAAAGCAGATCAGACAGTGCATTTTCTCTCCATATCTATTGATTTTTCATAGACAGTGAAATAATTTAAGGGGCAGTCACGGTGAGATCAAAGCATAAGGTGCAGGAACAGGACAAAAGGGGATTGTATGTGCCGTGAAGCAGAAAAAACATCCTCAGCACAATTTGCTTTCTACACAGCTTAAAGCAGAAATAAAGCGCCATCAAACAGCAAAATGTGCCTGTTTGTTGCTGCTTTGACGAGACAAATGTGATCAAGCCTAGGAGATTAACACCAAAAACGTAAAATTTTAGTAAACCTGAGAGTTAGGAGCAAGGTTTGAAACATTTTGACCATGGAAGAATCACTTGGAATCAATAAAAGTAGAAATTAGAAATAGAAATTAGTATTTGAGACTCTAATAGCCAATTGTATGCTTTGTTTTTGCACTAACATGTATTGAGTCATAGTCAGATGAATTACCTTCTACTTAAAATGCACCGCCGTTTGTCCTCAGTCTGTCCGCCAGCCGGCCTGCTCTCCCAAGCGATGGGTGGCATGTGCAGTGTGTCCAGCCAAGCAGCATGCAGGCTTCGGCTCTCTGGTCTAAATGGCCGCGGATGGTGGCTGAATAGTGAACTGGTGGGAGCCTGGATGGGTGCCTGGAGAAGATATGGGAGACCCCATCTTACTGCCAGAACATGCTGAGACACAGACCTGGCATTGTAACCCACCCAGAGGGGACCAAGTCTGGGCAATAGGATATTGTTTTCTCACTAAATAAACCAAGTCTAGGACCAGACAATGAGAAAGTATGGTCTAGCACTGGAGCCAGAATTATCATTAATTTATAGGTATTTTGCATGTTGCTTCCTGAGTATTGCACAGGCTAAGGACATCTTTAAAGACTATGGGACATGGTTGAAAAACAACTGGGCCAAATTAGACTGATAGCCTGTTAATTTCATCTTTATAAATGCAGCTGATACCGATATTGTCACCACATAATGTTTGACCGAAATTGTCATTGTAGTTGCTATATTTTTCTATGAACACTTCCACTTGTTGAGCTTTTGACTACTCCTACTACACACTTTTACAGTTAAGACGAGAATTTAACATGCATAAACACCAAAAACCATGTAACACCTGAAAAACATCTGCCACTGGCATGTTTTCCAGTATAGGCAAGATGGTGACCAGTAAGAGTGAGAAATGTGACGTTCTACACAATTTTGTTGAATACGATCATACCATGGGCACCTGTAGTGCACATATGTGCTAAAAATAATGGGTATAAGTACAGTAGGACAAGATTTGACATGTAGAAAATTGCTAGCGTAATACTAGCTTAAAAATATGTAGAGTTGTTGTTTAATGAGTAGCTAGCTGTTTGCTAACCTAGCAAACAGCTGGTTTTAGGGACTTTGAATGTAAGATGTTAGCCTTTCTACTGTGTAGCTGAATAAAACCCAGGTTATTATCAGAAGTACATGGCTTGTTTATAACAATAAAATATATTTATGTAAAACAGTTATATTGCTGTAAGAAGGTATAGGCCTTCCCAACCTCTTGCAGCTAACTTTATTTTTTTAAGCTAACTTCCAACCTTGATACCCTCAAGGCAAAAAAATGACTCTTTCCACTCTATAGTGGTAGAAAGTCATGAGAAGTGAGCAATGAATAATATCATTCAAACTTATAATTTTCTTTCATGGTCTGTGTTGAACGGGCCTTTCTAATCTGTGTGGCACTGAGCTACAAAAATACAGTGACTTCCCGTGGCTCATTTCTTCTTTTCTTACTTACCTGCAGTGATGCAAACATAACTTTAGCTTATGAACCGACCTGGACATCCGTTAGAATGATTCCTGAAGCTTTCTGAAAACCCTGAGGGGAGCTGGAATATTGCTTCACATATCCACTATAGCATAGATATGGTGTATTATGCAACTCGATCTGGGCTGGCCCATTAAACAGCACAAGCGTGAAATCTAGGGCAGAACGCCCAGCATCCCAAGACGTGTCTGCAGCTTTGAAACGCCGGGGTGACGCTGAGCCAAGCTCCAACTGTGTCAGGCCCAGTCACATGCACGCAGCCATACAAACAGAAGTGTGTGGATATTTACACAGAGGCATGCGTACAAAACAGAAGACATGGACAGACATGTTTGCTTTCCTATATACCCTGCTCTATACAAATACTCATCATTCCTATGAATTAGAATTTGGTTCTCATCCATGCACAAACCCACTGTTATTATGTCTTCTTTCTTTTTCTTTTTCTTTTTTTAACTACAATTTTATTATTAGATATGTGTGGGTCCAAAAGGGAGTATGCTGCCTCTTATTTGAAGTTGTTCAGCAACTGTATTGTAATATGGGTGACAGTTTGTGTATGTATTATATGTAAAAAAAAAAAAAAAAAAAAAAACTTAATTGGAAAGTTCAGAGTGTAAATTGCCTATTGTCTAATTTCTGGTTTTTCGTCTCTTCAGCAGAGCAAAGATGATGTGTGAAGTGATGCCCACGATCAGCGAGGACACAGCTCTGAGCCAACGCGGCTCTCAGAGCAGCGCCTCAGACCCGGACTCACATTTTGAACAGCTTATGGTTAATATGCTGGACGAACGGGACCGGCTGTTGGACACATTGAGGGAAACTCAGGAGAGCCTCGGTCTGGCCCAGCAGCATCTACAGGATGTCATCTATGACAGAGACTCGCTGCAGCGGCAGCTCAGCTCCGCCCTGCCACAGGTAAGCAGCTTAAATCCCTGTTTTCAAAAGGTTTTTTTAATATTATTGTGGAATCTTTGTATCCTTGACTTTTTGAAATTGCTGACATGACAAGAACGAAGGATTGACATGCAATTAAAGTAGGAAGCTGGAATAATGATGTGCTTACAAAGGATGTGTTGTGACTTCCATGACACTGGGATGTCGTCTTTGACTTATTTTATGTGTGTTTTGTCATAAATTTGCTATAAAAATATAAAAATATTGTCCATCTAAACTTTATACTTTCTAAAACTTTCTTTGGTTTTATTGTTTTAGTGTCCTCTTCACAACATAACCTAATTTCCAAACAATAGTAAAGGCTGATTGCCAATGACTTTATTATTGTAAGGCAAGTCAAATACAAAACCTTTGGTTAGTTTTATGAACAATTACTTGGGTTAAAACGGACCCTTTTACAAGAAGGCAAAAGTCTCCTTCCTGCATCTTTTTTCTTTCTTTCTTGTTTTCTTCATTGTCACAGAGAGGAGTGGATGCTAATCTAAATGTATGCCTAAGCTGTTTTTTAACCATCAAATCAATGTCTTATCTCTGACTTTGTAAACAGTGTAGAGAAAAAAGTGTGCAAAGTCCAACTCTCATGATTGATAGAGGTAACATGCTGACACATGCATTTCCAGTGGATTATACAAATAAGAAGTACTTTTCAGCTGAAACTGGTTTTGGAACAAGTCTTGACGACAATACTGCCTTTCAAACATTTGTCATTTCATCAGACATTTTGCACATACGTAGTCATTCCCGACATAAATCGAACTTCACCCTCTCTTTAAATTAACCACTATTATCGTTTTTCATGTTGGGCACCTGTTGCATACAGTCGTGTGAAAAATTAAGTACACCTCATAGTTCAATAGCTTGTAGAATCACCTTTAGCAGCAATAACTTAACAATCCTCCCATAACGGCATTTTCTGTATGGCTTTCTCAGTGTTTCACATTGTTTACGGAGGGATTTTCACCCACTCTTCTGAACGGTGTTGCTTTACTTTATTAAAGTTTGTTGTCATCCATTTATGGACAGCTCTTTTGAGGTCCTGCCACAACATTTCCATTGGGTTGAGATGTGGACTTTGAGTAGTCAAACTTGTTGATGATCAGTTAATTAAGTACATTTGATTAGCAGCACCTGGCTGCTACTTACTGTCTTAATTCCTATGGTATCGATAAGGGTATACTTAGATTTTACAAGACTGTGAAAACGTGTTTTTCACATGAATGTAGAGTGTGGCTGTATTGCTTTTTACTTGCCTCACAAATTGTAAAAAAATAAAATTATATATATATATATATATA